TACATTAATGTTCGGTATTTGCTTAGGGAAAGTGCGTACAAGGAAGTGGAAATTTTGACAAAATATTCTCCCCGAATATTTACATTAAGGTCACAAAATATTTGTATTTTTCATTCTTAGTAAGTATTTAAAGTACGTATACATTACTTATCTGAATGTTGTTTACCATAACTTAGTTTAAGATAAAAAAAATTTGGCACACTATACAGTACGCGTACATGACAATGCAACAATATGATGTGAATTTACCAAGACAATACACAATCACAATGACATGCCCACCAACACCAGAAATAACACAAAAACAGTAAACTTTAATTTACATTGTAATTTATTTTGATAGTATTGGTTGCATGACTTAGAGGCAATTATAATACTTGATGGTAAAGCAGAAATAGATAATTAACCTAAAAACTATAATAATGCATGTTACTGCTAGAAATTATTCTTATGTTTATAACTTAATATGCAAAAAAAGGTTAAAGACAATTTTGAAAATATGGAAAAAGGTCGATTGAACTTGTTAATTAATTGGGAAAAAGTATTTTTGTTCTCTGCAAATTACATGATAAAAGGACAATAAATAACTAAAAATAGTGTTCCATTGAAAAGTGAAACAACCCAGGTGACAGGTTGCAAGTTTTATTGTAATTATCTATTCTAGATAATTAATTACAAGCAAGCTCTGTTCACGCATGCATACTGCTAGCATGTGCAGTTCTTTATAAAACTATTTATTATGTCAAGGTTAAATAAGAACATGGTTAACGCTATTTATTATGAATGATTGCCGGATTCGCAAGGAAACACTTGCAAGGAATAACTTTTTCAACTGGACTTAGCTACGTCCTTGTCCTAGATCACGTGACTTTGAGTGAAATGGCAGGTATATGTTTTAATGTTGGGGCCACTTCAAAACTTGAGTCATAAATAAGTAGTAAAAAATGTGCCGTCTTCGCAATTACGTTATATAATACACTATGACCTTATTACCAAGGATATAAAACGTCAAGTAAATATGTCTTTATCATCAACATGTGTATAAATATATATACATGCACAATTATATTAAAAAAAATCAATAATATCATATTAAACATACTACCCGTCTCTCATGCCCCCTAGTACCGGCTTTATCTGTATAAAATCCTTAAAATATTGGAATCAATGATCCCGAAAGACCAGAAAGACATAACAACTCAGAGTTTATATAGGATTACTATAATCTTGTTTGTTGTTGGTATAGTCCCACAATTTCTGCCTGACGATGTCGAGAATTTACTCCCAGTGGATCTAATTTAATCAATAGTGTCAATATTTTATACCCTTAGTTTTGCCAGGAAAACAGCAATTTACCTAATGCCTTTCAATAGCAAAAAGCGGAAAGATTTTTACTGTTTGTGAAATACAACTTTCATTGTATGATGAAAATGGAGACTGTGTAATAATTTACAGATAACAGATGTTTATTGTTTTGTACTTTTTTTCTCTTTCACTCCATCAGTAACATAAAAATATATAGCTAGTCAAGTACTTTATTCATATTTTGTAAACGATGTAAAATTTTGAGTACGGATGTGGAAAAGTCTTTAAGGTGGAACTCCAAAATATGCCTATGCTGAATAAAGAGGAAAGTGCATGTTTAAAGTTATAGTAAATACCATGTGGTTCAGGAACACAAATAGATTAGTAACATCTTAAGTTTATTGTTTTATAACGTACTAGTGCGAACTTGCTTTTCGGAAACATGAGAAATCGTGTTGTATAATATTGTATAACATTTAAAGCATTGTTATATCTGTCTTTAATTACTTTTATGCTATTTCAATGTTGAAGTATAGTTATGTTTTGCAATGTTTGAATTAATTCCTAATTAAAAGTTGTTTACAGAGTTCAGATCCTTTATTCTTATTGCGTTTTATGATCTATTAAAACAAACTTCCTTTCCAAGAATGTTTGCAAGTTTATATCTCTATTTCTTACTTGTATTGTCAGACTTTTGTTGTTAGGCTGAAATGATGGTATCAAAGATTAATAATCTTCAAGTCAGACTGTCTGTCAAATAACCCTAGATAATCTTACAGGGCTTTTTTCTTCTTTAATGAGGACATTGTCCTTTTGCAGACATTTTTACTATTATGATCAAATTACCGGACAATAACTTCTTCATAAAATCGTATATACTATATACTTTATGTGATGGAAATTTGATTATTCCCTTATTCATTTATGATTTTTTCTTGATGATTCGAACTCAATATTTGCATAAGAAATTAGCAATTAAAGAAATAGCGAATGAAAGGTAATTAACAATTTTTATCATATCTACATGCTGCCCTTAAGATATTTTTGCACGCGGCGTCTAGTAGATATGCATTTGTCCATACATTGTAGACTTGATTTTTTTGTTTTACCAAAATCACACTGTTTTCAAATGTTCTAATAAAATAGCTTTTCTGATGTATAACATGTCTCAGAGCTTTAAGGGATTAGAATAAACGTTTAACTGAAGTGATAGTGCCATATTTGAATATCATATTCTTTTTATCATTATCTTATTTTATCTACATAATAAATGACGTGCCAATGAGCCAGTCTATAGTCGATTGTTCTAAAACTTAACGGTTGTGAGAGGTAACGAATGAGACAGTGTCACTTCATTTACTCCGCCTCTGTTGAAGTTCGGCTCCGTCTTAAATTGTCGCCAAATTTAATATGATGCTCCGTACGCTAGCATTTAGTCTTCGTTGACGGGGCGGAAGAAAACCAGGACATTTTTGATAAATATCAATTGTCGAATCATCAAATTACAAGTTACAAAGCCTAAACCACGCCCACTATCAGAGAGACGGTTCTCCCTCAACGTTAAGAAAGTACGCCAAACTCTGCGCACCGGTTACGCTACAGCCAGTAAGAGGAGATCACTGCAGAACAGTTAGTCCTTAAAATCTTTCGAACATTATGCAATTCGTACCAAAATTAAATGGACATATTTTCGGCACATATTGTCTTGAATTTATTTAAAGTATACCAATCATTTCAATTTTACTTGTTATCCAATTTATTTTGCTTCGACCAGACGTTTCAATCTTTGTCGGAACAGACAAACATTTCAGAAGTTCAGACATGGCATTACTTTGTGAATATATGCATAAGGTTATACATTTTCACAAAAATATGCAACTTAATTATTAAACAACGAGCACATACCAAGAACATGGAGAAAAAAGATTTGTGTTTCGGATATTGAACTGTAATAGATTGTCAATGCTGATAGACTGTTCACGTCATTTGGCGGCGTCTTTGATGTGTAGCATAAACATTTAACTTGTTTGATGTATGCTATTGATATCAGTATTCATAACAATAGACTTGCCTTGACTTTGTATGAAGATGAATTAAAGTTTAATATTTGTACTGCTTATTACGTAATAATCATTGATTACTTAAGGTATTGAAGAGAAAAAAATAATTTACAATCGCATTGATAAGGAGACATTCGACCACATGATTTAATATTTTTTTCTAATTTACAAACACAAATTAATCTTAAAATTTCATTTATGACCTTACAAGTAAATTAACTTGGATGATTCATATTAAAAACTAACATCGTATAAATGTTGAATTATTTGCAAGTCATCGCAAGCACACTACGGTGTACAATGCAGAAATATTCAGAAGAATAATCAAAGTATAAAAAGTTTAATTCCCATACAAGCGTTGTAATGATATTTCAAAACATTTTTGAGTGCAAAATTCCCAAAGTACAAAATAGTTTAAAATATTCTAAAAATATGCGATGAAAACAAAAAACAAATTAACAGTGTCTTTTTATGTTCATGAGTGATAATAAAAGGCGCATATTGCCTTAAAGTATAAGCCAAGTTAGGAATTGTTGCTTAACAACATATAAACTCAGTTTTAATTAATACCTTTGGTTAGTATGATTTTCTTATTTTGTTGATACTACGTGCCTTATTATACTTATTTCTAAATTGTTAAAACATGCACTCAAATTATGTTTTGGTTATTGCCACCGTTTTGAGTGTTATAACAAAATTCGATACACGTGTTAAATCACTTTAACATTATTAACTTCTAACAAAGCAGTAATCAGTCTTATCTAATCTTCGAAATTCATTACCAAACAAAAACAAACAGAAAAAATTCATTATTGTTGTAAAACAGTCAATAAAAATAAAGGGAGGAAAAAGTATGCTAAAAATGCAAGAAACAAAACACGCCATGTTCCTTTGTGATTTAATGTAATTGTACAATATTTTAAGCTACATTTGATATTGTATTTAGCCACCCTTTGAACTAAAATTAATCGCCTAAAATGTTCTTTGGCCAAAAGCCAAGTTTAAGCTTTTCTATGTCAATATATATGATAAAATAGATGATTTGCAATACGCATTGAAATCAATTTACATCTTTGTTCTTTGTAATATACATCAATCTCAATATCACTATACAAATTTATAGTTACATTAGTTCAGTTAAAGTATACAGGTCTTTATGGCTGCATAAAAATAGAAATTTTTATGGTTTAATGGAATCGATACCAAAATGGATATACACTATTGGAAAATAAACAACATAATTATATAAATAACAATATACATTTATCAATATGCTATTCACTAATATTATCTTTGTTATTGTAAAAATAATTTAAAGAATATAATTGTGATAAATATAAGAAAAAAGTATTTCATGACAGTGCTTTTAGCCATTCTCTTTTTCACAACATTAAAATCGTGAACTATTAGCACGAATTGGTGCATTTTTAAAGCAGGAACAATGGAAGATTGTTTCAACCTTGTACTGTTCAAAAGAACTCATTATTATTTAGATAAAGCTCAATACAACAAATATGATGGTATTTCTATACCAAAGAACACCATTAGATTCCTATTTAAAGCATTAACAAGATAAATAGGTCTTTGTCAGAGTAACAGTGAGAGAACAAATGTGGAAAAAATACGAAAATGTACCTGCAATGTAGTAAAACATATATCCCCTTCTACTATTTATTCCACCACATAGAAACCAACTTGATTAGACGAACGCTTACTTACTCTGAACATAAATAAATATCACAAAAGAGTTTTGCTGCTTTTCTGATATTTGTATCTCAAACCAACGTTGTATAAAATAACCGATATTTGTTGTATGTTTGTTAACCTGGTTAACAGCGGTGTCTCCTTTATGATTCGGTTTAAAGTTGTTCTAACCGCCTGGGTGTCTTTATTCTACACTATTATAATGATAAATGGTAAACAGTGTATTCCCTTTATTCTTAAATAATATCATCGATATAAACTTAAAATATATCAGTTTAATCAGACACTTGATATGGAATGTTCTAATAGTATATAAATAACATATCATGGTTAAGTGGATTAAATCCAAAAAAGTTAAATTAACTCTTGTATGAAATATGTAATTTTGCAACTAATTTACTTTACCATGATTTCATTACTCAAAGTATTGAAATTATTTGTCTATAATTACAGAAAAATAATATTGTGCAAAATATTCGCTTCATATTCAGATGCCAATTATCAACAATTTTTGTTTCCATTTAGTTCGTTTGTAATAGTTCAGTTCAATCACTGTTTAGCACAATTTACCGTGACAAAGTCAAAATTAAAAAAAAGAACACTGACTCATATAAAGTGCAGTCGACATTTTTGAAGACTATAAAATGCACATAATGGCTTCTTGTCTGAAAGTGTTCTTGCTCGTTATAAAACATACACATGTTTAAGTTTTCGTTGGTCGAAAACGAAAGTGCATCGGAACCAAATCTAAGATACTACTATTAGTAAATGCTATAGTACAAAATAAAAATGATCTTTGATTTTTAACAGTACATAATGACTATTTTAGTGTTTTTCTTTGTTTTGTTTTTTTTTAATTTTGTGAGTTAACTACTATGAACTAAGTGTATTGCAGTCAGTAAATGCTTATCTCGGTGATAAACGTCGTAAAATTATCTGAATAAATGTTTCTTATTTCTTACATACTAACACTGGGACGGAAGCAAATTGAGGAAGAAAACAATTGTTTATAATGATGCAAATTTAACCGGGATGTATATACTTTTCCCTGCTTGTTTTAAGATGGTAACAGATGTTCTCTACGATTGCAGATTTATGTTTTCTGATATATCACTCTAGAGTGCAGAAAAACAGAATTTCTCATTATCCATCTTTACCTCAACTTGTCTTGGCGAATGCGCAAACAAAAAAAACTGAAACAAATGTAGCGATTTAAAGGTAAACGAATGACATAAATGAATAGAAGACATGATAAAAAATAAAAACAAATTAAAATAGATAAAAATACATACAAACAAACAAACAAAAATGACAAGGATTCTTTATCTGCAATAATTATTTAATCTGAACTGTTAATGAATCAAGAATTTAAATGTACCGGGGTTACAATTTTGTTTCTTTTGGCAGTACAAATACCATATCAGATAAAAAAGTAAGTGTTTGATAAAACACGTTTTTATATCTCTATAAATTGCAATAGTTAAAATTTTCGAGTTTCTTTATCTAAAGCAGATATTCCAGTACATTTCTTTTCATAATCAGAATTTAAGATATTCTTTTCGTTAAGACAATCAAAGGATGTAAGCAACTTACTTATACTGTCATTGAAAGGTTGGCACAAAATGAGTATGTATGGGCTGTCATTTTTATTTGTTTGGGTCGTCAGACCAAACAAATAATGGTAGCGAAATTTCAGAGTCTAATGCTGTTAATTGCAAATGCCGAAAGTAGTCCACTTTTTTGAAGCGGTGACTTCCCTTTATATGTACACTAACGCCGAAAAATTCAGGGGAGATCACTGCGTTAAGATGGTCAAAGAGAGGCACATTAATTTTCAAGCAAAATAATTCCCCAATGGTCGAAGATTTCTAATATTCTTTTATTGTATTTTCTGCTCGAAAATAAGTAAATACAAAGCGGACATTCAATCTCTGACACAGAAGTTTACGACAAACCTAACAACAAGTAGTTCTCAGAACAGCTTAAAACTAGCGATTTAAAAGAAAGAAATATTTTTATTTTGTTACAAGTATCTAACAAATTACATCGCATTCAAAGTTTGAAAATAGCGTTGGCTTATAGAATTGTCAATAAATGCACAATCACAAATTACGCGGATGAATATGATTTTATCAATGAAAATACTATTTTTAGCGCTGTCGATTACCGAATACTACACAAACCGAGTAGTGGAATATATAGATTCTACATGTCGGACTGTTTGGGCGAGAAGATTTTCGCTAAATTATTTACTTCAATCTTAAACAACAGGTTTATCCTGAACAAAATACCTCGAAATTAATAAGGATTACAAACCCGAAATGCAATGGAAGTTCTAAATTTAGAATGACTTGATGTTATTCAGGCACTTTTAGTATAACTTCTCCGTGGTGCAGGGGTAACGCGCTCGCTTAGTGAGTGAGAGGTCTGGAGTTCAAATCCCAGTCGAGGAAACTTTTTTTAAATTCTTTTTTAAGTGTCTTTGTTAAGGAAGTAGCCTTGATATGCAAGGATAAAGTGTAGCTGTCGTAAAAAATGAACATAAATGATATTTTGATGCAACTCTAGTTATGCAGAATTCCGTATGTATCAAATTCTGGTGCCTTGCAAAATGAATTATAATACATAAAAATAAATTTATACAGGAAAATACATACAGATATACAGTACGATATAGATTGCAAAGATCAGAAAATACCACAGAACTTGCAGCCCTTTGATTCTTTATAAATATACATGCTTATAGTAAGCTCCAGGATTATTTACATCTGTGTTAAACAACAGTTAAAGTCGTTACAAGCCCTAATTTAGAATAATATGGTTTTCTTCAGGCCGTTCACATATAAATTCACCGTGGCTGAAGGGTTTTCGCGCTCACTTAGGAAGCGAGAGGTCTGGAGTTCAAATCCCAGTAAAGGAAGCTCATTTTTTTTTTCAAATTGTTTAAGTCAAATAAACATTGGATTGAATATCAGTGTTGCAATTAGTCTTATAGCCAATTTACTACAATTAAAACGCTGGAAAGCATTGGTGGCACTACACATATAATCTCACAACCTGTACCTTTCTTGCATTCTGAGACCCAAACAAATTCAGCGCCTTCTGTGCTTTGATTTTTATATGCAAACATCTTGTCCATGGGGGAATGTTTTTTTGACAAGATGTGAATCATTTGAACTCCAATCATCTTTCTGTGCTATGTGACGCCAAATCTTTGTCATGAAAGTGCAAAATGCATGGATCTTTCAGAAATCTTTTTGTTAGATAAAGGCAGACATTTGATGGTTTAAAAGTGCTTTTGAAACATATGGAGAAAACGCAAAGTTGATTCTGATGATAACAGCTTTTGTAATGTCAATTTATTGCATTTAATTATCTAGGCAAGAGTACAAATAAACATACACTCCTTTTTTGCAATTCATTAGATTTGGAGATATTTCCGTTTGTTACTAATATATCATTTTCTCTTAGCAATACAATATTTATGGGATTGATACACACTTCATCGCAATATTTCTTTCTAATTCCGACATAATGAATCGAAATTAAATAAGTTCTGTATATAAAATAAAAAAAACTTTAGCACATCTAGTGTTGCAGGCACGGTATTTATGACATATTTTACTGGAAAATAGAAAACAGATCTAAACATTCAACAATTAATTTAAGAACATTTTGTAATACAGCAGAATGTTCCTCACTTTTTCTTATGCTGTCTCTGTAAAATTTGGTGGAGATTTGAAAATTTAATTAACATTATACTAATTGAATTTAACAACAAAATACCCAGACTATGAACAATTTTAATTCGATATTTTTCTCCATAGAAATTTGTATAAACCATGAGAAAATGTTGTTTTTGCGATTTACAGGAAACGTTCAAGTTTACTGTACATGTGTCGCTTATTTAAAGATCCTGTATGTTGTAATTGAGGTTGTTACCACACTTAACTGAAATTTTATACATGTATATAAATACGCTTATAAAACAATTTTCTAACATCATAGAATGAATGAAATAACAGATATATTTTACCATGCTACATTTTGATGCATGTGCAAGACTTGGAAAACAATTGCATGTCTATTAAAATTACAATCCCCCGGTAAAAATGCTATCTGTTGATTAATTTTGATATCAAATAAATCATTACTTTCATTTAAATCAAAGGGATCTGATGATATGTTTCTTTGATCAAAATAAATTTCATTAACCTGCAATATTGTAAAATGATGATTATCAATAATATAAAGAAGATGATAGTGTGATCATTCTTTAGTAATTTAAAATCTTAATAACTTTTAACATGAAGTGTTTGAACTATCATTTCTGACCGAGAAATAATGTGTCATCAATGCCGATTTAAAACATGATCGTATTCTGAAAATTTAATATTTACTTAAAGATCCTGTATGTTGTAATTACGATGAATACCACATTTAAGTGAAATTTTATATATGTTTTTTTAATTATGCTTCTAAAATAATTTTCAAACATCGAAAATATGTACAACATGTACAATATGTACTGCAAATATTTGTGCACATTTTATGTAATCATTAAAATATATGCATTCATTTCTTATTGAAAAAATTGACTAAGACTTTATAGAAATTAAATTTCTAATTACATCCCTTTATTTACATAAAATGTTAAATTCGGTAATATCTTTATAAATAATGCTTTTTGCATAATGCTACAATATTGATAAATCTTAATTTGAGTATCATATTTATGATATAAAACCATAAAAATTTGTGTTACAGGATCTTTAAATGTTCATTTGTCCATAAATCTACAATTTATATTTTTAAAGCGTATTACAGTTACTTATTAACCAGATAACCGAGTTATCTCTTTCTTCGTGTTAGCAAACTGTGGTTTAATGTTTTGTATGAAAATTAAAACACCGCTTTATTTACATTTTGTCAAATTTGTCACGAAACATTTCATATGCAGTGCTATTTCCTTCAAGTGAAACGTATTTCGCATGTTCTGAATCATTTATTGCATTATTCTAAACACCTGCTTGTCTGTTTTTACTGAGGGATAAAAATAAATCGTTTCTGAGGCATAATGTGCCTTTAAGTCGTAGGGAAAATAATAACACTGTGCTATATTTTTATCGTTCATTTTGTGTGTGTGTGTGTGTGTGTGTGTGTAAAGTTGTATTCATCAAGAGACCGC